CTTTCTTTCTTTCTTTCTTTCTTTCTTTCTTTCTTTCTTTCTTTCTTCCTTCCTTCCTTCCTTCCTTTCTTTCTTTCTTTCTTTCTTTCTTTCTATGGTTATGATGGCTGCTGCTTTATAAAATACTTTTAAATCTGTCCCTACTCTTTTCAATTTTTCCCTTGATATTCTAGGCTTTTTTTTCCCAAATGAATTTTGTTATTATTTTATCAGATTCTCTCAAGTATGCCTTTGATACTTTGATTGCAATAAAATTATAAATTAGCTTTGGTAGTATTTTCATTTTATTATATTGGCATAGCCCAACCATGAGCACCGAATATTCCTCTAGCTAGTGAAGGTATTCTTTATTTCTTTTTAAGGAGCATTTTATATTTGGAGTTATGCAAGTCTTTTGTGTTCTTTGGTAGATTAATTCCCTGCATGTATTAAGCAGTTTTTAGTTATTTGGAATGGGATTTCCATTTCTACTATTGGCTCTTGAATTATATTATTAGGCCTATCTTTATGCGTTTAATTTTTTTCTCTTTTTGCTGTTCAATGGAGGCTTAAATGATCTTCCTGTTTCAAGCCTCACTCCGGTCCACTCCACTCTCCCCAAAATTGCCAAAGTTCTCTCTCTCTAACATAGTAAACTTTCAGTGGCTCCCTATTACCACTAGGACCAAATATATTTGACATTTAAAGCCCTTCAAATCTGTCCCCAGCTTATCTTTCTAGCTTTATTACACATCACTCCCCTCCCCATATTCTGCCCACTCGGGATGGTTTTACTATTGTTCATATGACACACTCCATCTCCAGTCTCCAGGCCTTTGCACTGGCCATCTTCCATGGTTAGAAGCTCTCCTTCCCTGCTTTCATTCCCCTTTTAAAGTCCCTAGTTTCCTTCAAGACTCAGTTCAGGTATTGCCTCTCCTGATTCCTCCTCCCCTTTCAGCAAGTGCCACACCCCACTCCAAGGAACTCCCCCCCATTTGTTCTATAGATGCCTGTATTTGCACACGTGGCAGTTTAGCGGAGTGTGGCTGCTGCACAAACAGCCACCAAAGTGGCTGAAGCAGGTGCCATGGAGCGCTGAGAGCCTGATCAGACATCAAAGATACCAGCATCATCCACTGCGTCCTGGACCATCACCAGTCGTCCTGACTCTTGTCTTGCCAGATGACTCAGGAAAAGTGAGTGAGGTTGATGACTTCAGGCAGCTCTGCCCCCCTTAAATCTGCTTCATGTGCAAGTCAAGAGTCAACCCATGATGTCATCGGTCCACTTCAGAATGAAGGATGAACAACAACATATATGCACATTATGTCTCCCCTGGTAGGATATCAGACCAGATACATATAGAATATTTAAGCAAAATGATAAAAATAAAAACAAAAAAGTTTTAAATTTAAAAGGAAAAGCATTTAAATACTTCATTTGTAGATAGTAGTACAATTAAAATAACAATCAGCAAGGACGATAGGATGAAAAGATTCATGCCATTTTAAAAATCATGCCTAGTTACAAAAAAAAAAAAAACCAAACCAACAAGTCATAGAAACAATAACACGTGATGTTCAAGGCCTTTTGCTAGATTCTGGGATACAAGGACAACAAAACAAGAAATAATCCACGTCTTCTTGTGCCCCTTTCAGAATATAAGCACTGATTCATCCTGTAATTTTTGAGTTAGGTACACTTGATTACCTTTCTTCTGTCTCTTTTCTGTGTTTGCGTTTTACAGACTCCTAAGCTCTGGTTTTCTCAAGAAGAGTGCTTAGAAGTCACCAGTTCCATAAAAGTCCCTCCCACCACCAGCCCAAACTGCCCCATGGGGTTATGCCTAACTTTGAAGGAAGGCTAAATTAATCAGCTGATAAGTGAAGATTCTTTTCCTTTACTTTTCAATTCAGTCTTTTTGATATATCATATTCTAGCTTTTCCATTCGTTTTTCATTGACATCCAGTATGATTCTGACTGGGATTCCTTGTTCCATGTTCAGATAGGTGTCTTCTGCATGATGTCAGTATTTAATTTGACTTGGAACCTCTGGAGCTTGGCAAGCATGTTTCAAGGAGAATCAAACCCAGGATTCCTGAAGCTCTTAGATTATATTAACCACCTTTTGACCTCTGGCTGAAATGGAGTTCTAGAATGTCTTCTAGCATTTATTTTAAGCCTTAAGCTCTCTGCTTGAGTTTATTTTCAACTCTTATTTCATTCCTTATTTCTTCCTTCATTTCTTTTATTTCACCTCCCAACTACTTGCAGAGTTTTCGCGACCACTGCACTCTCTTTGTACGTAAATCAGTGAATATTTTTTAAGCTCTTACTCTTATTAGAGCTATAGTTGTATTTTAAACAATCATTCTTTTCTGGAGTTTGCTCCTGGCATTCTCCAACTGCTACAGTATTATGAGCTTTTCATTGGTCATTTCCTCTCTGCTGTTTTTCCCCATGAGGATTCCTGTCTCATTTCCCCTTTGGTCTATATTTTTCCCCTTGGGGGGATTTCTTTCCCTTTCTCTGTTTTAGTTCCCCCCCCCTTTAGCCAATTTCTAGTTGCTTTGATGTTCTGTGATGAGGTGGATTTCTACCAACCACTAACTTAGCCATATTAGTATCAGTTAGGTTTCCTTTTTTTCTGTTTTTTAAATGAAATGAAATAAAACTTTAGTGAAATTGCTTATCAACTTTGTTGTTAAAATGGTTCTTTTCCATTTATCTGGTCAGTTTTTAAAAATGCTTTTTTTGCTTGACGTCCTTGTAACTTCCTAATTTTCTTTAACTTTAGACTCAACTAATTTGCCTTTTTTTACATTTATAGAACCATTCAGAAATCTAACTTCTCTCCATGAATCTTTGGCTACATCTGATAAATTTTGATCTATGTAGTGATGTTGTTATTATCTTTAATGTAATCTTTTATTGTTTCATTTCATTAAACATTTATTAAGTACCTACATTGTGCCAGGCACTGTGCTAAGTGCTGGGGATACAGAAAGAGGCAGAAGACAGTCCTTGCCCTAAAGGAACTTACAATCTAATGGGAGAGAGACAACATGCAAGCAAATATATACAAAGCAAGGTCTATGCAGGATAAATAAGAAATAATTAGCTTAGGGAAGGCTTCCTTTGAGAGGTGAGATTTTAGTTGGTACTTAAAGGAAGCCTGGAGGTCAGTTGTTTTAGCTGAGGAGGGGGAGCATTCCAGGCCTAGGGAAGTACCCGGAAAGAATGCCCAGAGCCGAGAGATAGAGGGTCTTGGTCAGTGTCACTGGACGGAAGCGTTTGTGGAGGGGAATAAGGTAGGAAAGGTAGGAGGGGGCCAGGTTAAAGGGCTGTGAATGACAGCACATTTGTATTTGACCCTTTAGGCAATAGGGAGCCAGCCACTGAAGCTTATTGAGTAGGGGGGTAGCACCATCAGACCAGCACTTTAGTGAAATCATTTAGTGGCTGAATGGGGGGTGAACTAGAAGGGAGAAAGCCTTGAGGCAGGCAGACCCCCAGCAGCTATGGCCATGGTTCAGAGTGAGGTGATGAGGCCCTGTATGAGGGTAGTAGCTGTGTTAGAGGAGAGGCGGGAGCATATTGGAGGTGAAATTGACAGGCTTTGGTGCCATATTGGGAGAACGAAGAGCCCAGGATGCCTCCTTGGTTGGGAACCTGAAGGCCTGGGAGGATGGGGTTGCCCTCTGTAGTGACAGGGGAGGTGGTTGGGGATCTGAGTGTGAGGGTTCAGGGGAAAGATATGTTGTGGACGTGCTGAGTTTGAAATGGCTAGAAGGCAGTTGTATAATTTCTTTTTTGAGGCAGACATTATTTAAAAAGTCATGTTAGTCTGCAGATAGGCCCATAGCTTTTGATCCCATGTTTATTGTTGATGACTATTTTCTCAGCTTCATTTTCTGTAAATGTGGCATATAAAATGTTTGCCTTTCTGAATGTAGTACTTTTTTTTGTTCTGGAGTATGGTTCGTTTTTCTTGTACATTCCCTATTTTTTACATTCATATATACATACATCCTCATGTCTTCACATTAGACTTTTTAGCATTATTTGAGTTTGATAATTCTCTTATTATTTTGTTTGATATATCATGTTCTATTGGTGGGGTATTGAAATCTATCGTTCTCATCACAGTCAATTCTTCTATTACTCATTTGATTTCTTAGGTAATTAGATGTGGAGTTATTTAATGTTTACATTCTCTCATTGTCAGTGGTACAATAGGGTATCTATAGTATAATTTCCTTGTCTGTTTCTTATAATCAATTCTCATTTGAACCCAACTCTACCAGACATTATCACTATCTCTGGAGTATTTGGAGATAGCAGAAGGATAGCCAGTCCACCCCACCATCTTCAGCGTATTCTCTGGGTATTAGGTAGGTTTCTGTAGACAACATATCAAGAAGTATTTTCTCATCCCATCATTAAACAATATTTTTTCTTTTTTTTTTGAGGCAAAATTTAGTCAATTAATTTTTTAAATTCTTCAGTATTTCAAGATGTCCATAATCTTATCAATTTGGGTACTTTCTTCTATGATACTGATTGCAAACCCATCCATGCCTTTTCATCCTGTGAAACTTTTCTCAGGTAGGGGGCGCCACAGTGCACAGAGCTCTGGGCCAGGCGTCATGGAGACCTACTAAGTTCATGTAGGCCTCAGACACTAGCTAAATGACCCCGGGCGAGTCACTTTACTGCTGCCTGCCTCAGTTTCCTCAATTGTAAAATGGGGATACTAATAGCACCTCCCTCACAGGATTACTGTGCAGATCATATGAGATCATATTTACAAAGTGCTAAGCACAGGGCCTGGCACACAGTAGGTGCTGTGGAAATGCTTACTCCTTCTTTTCCTCTTTCCTTCTCTCTGCCCCAAAGTAAATCTTCTTGAGGGCTTCCCCTGCATTCTGAGGTCCTTCTCCTAGCGGTACCAGTACAACACATGGCCTTTGAGAGGCTTGGAGTAGGGAAGAGCTGTGTTCAGGTCTGTCTGAAACACTTAGAAGGTGTGTTCCCTGGACAAGTGGCTCAGCCTCCACAAGATGAGGGGTGGAGTGGGGCCTCTGGAGTTCTAGGCAGCTGTAGAGCTGAGCCCCCTGAGCTCCCCTTCCTTTTCTGGGTCAGCCTCTCTTGGGTGATGTCTCAGTGGTGAATCATCTTACAGGGAGTTCACTGTATGTCACATGCTGTGGCCTAGTCAGGCCTGCCATATGTGTCTCTGTCACCTATGGGGGATTCCCTGGAGGTGGAGGCCCTCTGTGATTTATAGTCAAGCTGGGGGTCATTGAAAGGGCTGCCTAATTTCTGAAATGAAGCCTGATCAACTCTCTTCCTCCTTAGCTTGCACCCAGTAGAAACGCCAAGAGAATATTGGCCTTGGGAAGATAGCTTGGAACATTTGAGAGGCTTGTGCCCCTCTGTCCTAGCCAGCTCTTTTCCTGAAATCCCATCGGGTGCCCAGAGTAACTGCATCTGCCATGTCTGTGTGCCGGACCTCCTCCCAGCCCGCTTCAGGCGGTCACCACCCACCGATGCCCAGCTCTGTGTTGTTGAACTCCGAGATTGCCTTACTGGATCACACGCTTGTCTTTGCGCCCCTTCCTTGGCCTTGCAGCCCTGACCTGTTCTGTGGCCTTCTCTCCCAGGCCATCAGTACATGTCCTCCCTTCCCCGTCTTGACCCCTTAGTGAGTCACTTCAGCCCTACACTGCTGCCCTCTCCTGCATCCCTCGCGCCCATCTCATATCACTGACCTTGCCTGTCCATCCTCAGCCTTGGCTCACTCCATCCTTTGCTGAGTTAACTCCTGCTTAGGTGCTGCTGGAGAAAATCATGAAACCACTGATTGAATCCAGTCCAATGTCTGTTCTTCCACCTCAGCTGGACTTTCACTGTGATGAGGCAATTCTTTTACATCTTCTTAATTAACTCACTCTCCCACAGGCCACAGTGGCGCTTTCAAAGCTGTTGATTTTCCTCAAACCTCCCCCCACCCTCTCCACTCGAACCGGGCCTCATATTTCAACTCAAAAACTGAGGCCGTTCACGGAGAGCTCTGTCCCCACCCCCACCCCCACCCTCAGGGACCTCTGCCATCTTGCCCTCTTTCATCTGACTCCTGGGAAGAGGTGGCCTTTTTACTGACCAGGGCAAACCCCTCTCCCATTCTGTCCCATCTCCTCTAATTTCTCTTCCTCTTTCATTCTCAGAAAATCATCGCTTGAACCATCTGTGCCCTCCAGCTATGGCCCCAGGTCTTGGCTGCCTTTGGGGGCTGAAGTCCTTCAGAAGGCATCTACATTGGCTCCTTCTACCTGCTTTCCTCTCACTTGGTAGTCTGATGTAGAATGACTTCATTATTCGACCAAAATTATTGATGATACCTTAATGACCTCCCAGGCTTTCTTCAAGTCTCAATGAAAATCCCTTCTCATACAGGAAGCCTTCCCCGTGCTTTGGAATTCCAGTGCCCTCTCTCTGTTAATTCACTCTTTTATTTATCCCAGATAGAGCTGCTTTGTACAGGTCTGTCTGCATCTTGTCTCTCCCGTGAGACTGCAAGCTCCTTGAAGGCAGGAACTGTCTTTTGCCTCTTTTTGTATCCCCAACCTTAGCACAGTGCTGGCACATAGTAGGTGCTTAATAAATGTTGATTGATTGATTCTGTTAGGGAATGGAAATGTTATTCCTCCTTTGATGTTTTCCAGTTGTCGGAAGTTTTCTGATTCAGCCTAATGGGTGAGTCCTAAAAACGGGGCGGGGGACTGCTTTGCTACATTCTTTTCTTTGTAACCAAGTTATTTTATTTGTCTTCATTTATTACATATGTGGTTTAGCCTTGGCTGAAGCAAAAGACTCCTGTGCCTGCTTCTCCTTTTTAGGGCGTCAGGAATGCAGCAGTTCAGCCCAGTAGGAAAATACAAAGCGGATGGAGTCTTAGAGATGGTATGGTTTTCTGTAAAGTTCTCATAGTGGCATTTTACTGTATTTGGAGACGTGGACAATAAAAACACTCTTCTCTTTCAGCTGATACTGCACAAGGTGACAAAGTATGAAGATTTGGTCGTTTTCCTTCGACAAAATATTCATCAGGTATGACGATATTTTATTTTGGCTCCATTTTGTTTGTAATTAGAACTTTGACCTAAAAATGATTTCCGAGGTACGCTGACGTATCCCTTGCTCTGATGCTCCAGCCTGGCTGGAGCTTCCTCGGGTCTTGGATCTTGACTTGGGGAAGGCCGGCTCTGCCAGGGGCTTCAGGCCTGGGACCGGGACCCACCAGGGTCCCTTGCGTCAAAGGCTCAGCGTTGATAGTGACGTAGAGAGGCTCCTCTCTGGGCCGTTTGCCTCAGGGCGCCAAGTCCCGGGAATCCGAGAAGCCTGGGATGTGGCTGGAGCAGGGTGAGGATGAGCTTGGCTTGAGGAGGCCTCTTCCACCCCGAGAAAAGAAGATGAGCAAGGCACGATCACTCTCTTCATGGGGAAGAGGTGTCGGGCACGTGGTCTGAGACAGCACCAGCAGCGCTGCCAGCCACGTGGCCAGAGACAGGTGCCAAACGCAGTTGGGAGCTATATCGCTAAAGAAATTAAAGCGCAGTAGAGCCCAGAGAACGTGGCTCCGTGGTCTTCTCTGTCAGCGTGTGCCTGCAAGGATCCTGGCCACCCTGTCCGTTTGACTCTGGCACCATTGCCTTAGAATTGCCTCAGGCTTCAAATACAGACTCTAGTTTGGCACTCAAGGCCCCAGCCACCTGCCTCGCCTGGTTCTCTCCTCTCCAGCCAGGCTGGCCTTCTCCTGTCTTCATGCCTCTGCACAGAAGGCCTCTCCTCCCCTCTGCCTTTTAGACTCCCTCCCTTCCTTTAGAACTCAGCCAAGCCACTACCTCTTCCATGAGGCCTTGCCCCCAGCTCCTCTAAAAATTACCTTGGATTTAGCATTTGTTTCTTTCTGTGAATGAATGAAAAAGCCTTTATTAAATGCTTACTCTGGGCCGTGCATTCCTGCACCAGGTACATGCTGTCTCCCCCCACCCCTCATAGAATGTAAGGAATGCAGGAGCGCTTACATTTGGTCTCAGAGCCCTCGGTGCTGGGCATGCTCATTGATTCATTGGCACACGGTAAGTTAAGGAAGAGGAAGACAGTAACTGGGGGGGTCGGAGGCTTCTCATGAGAAGGAGTGCTAGGGTATGAAAGGTGAGGAGGGCGTGCTTTCTGGGGAGTGGAGATGGCCTATGCAAAAGCTTGGAGGTAAGAGATGGTATTCAAAGTTCAAAGCAGCAAGGTGGCCATTTGGCCTGGCATGTGGAGAGCAGGATGGGCAGGAATGAGTGTCAGACCTGGAAAGGCCCAACAGCTGCAGCCACATGTGAAGAGCTTTAAAGGGCAAGCCGAGGAGACTTGGTTTATCCCAGAGGCAATAGAGGGGGGTGGGAATGGGGAGAGGCCCGTGGAAGAGGTGATGGCCCAGGTGTGAGGTCAGCGGGGGCGGGCGGGGGGGGGTGAGTGGGGCGTACGTGCTAGAGATGGGGAGGGGGAAAGGCCTGGCTGCCGAGTGGCCGTGGAAGTCTGGAGTGGAGGAGAATGTCGAGGTTGTGGACCTCAGGTGACTGGAAGAAATTGGGGTTTCTGTCAGGGATTTCTGACTTGGGTCAGGGATGCTCATGGGACATCCAGTTTTGGATGTTCATGAGTGGAGGCCACGGGAGAGACTAGAACTGGCCCTTTAGACCTGGGGGAATCAACTGCGTTGTTGGGCCCGTGGGAGCAGAGATCACTGAGGGAGATGGTGTTGAGAGGGAAGAGAAGGAACCTATTCCTTGGAGTTAGGTAATGGAGAAGAAGCTCCGCCCTTCACCAGGTGGCACCAGGTATGGGTTTGTGCTTTCAGGAGCTCTTGTGGGCAGCAGAGAAGGGGCCGGAGAACAGAGAAGGAAGGAGTAGAGGACCCGGCTCCTGGAGGGAATGGATCTGGGAGCAGAGAGTTGGGGGTGGTGTAGAGGGCATTCGTGTCGGGTGGCCCAGGCGGGAGGTGAGGCCCTCTGCTGAAAGCAGACCCCATCTGTTAAGCTAGCTGCTCCTGACCCAGCGCTGTCTGTCCCCTTTGGAGCCCTGGCCCTGGTTGGTTAGCAGAGATGAAGATACCGCCCATGCTCTTGAGTACTTTTAAGTATCTGGGATGTCTTCAGTGTCCTCCATGCAGATCACACCTTCTCCCTAATGTAGAAAGGAAGAAAACAAGCATTCATTAAGCACTTACTGTTTGCCAGGCCCTCTGCAAAGTGCTGGGGATACAAATACAAGCAAAAAGAGAGTCCCCGCCCACAAAGAGCTTCCGTTCTAATGGAGAAGACAAGGCCCAAAAGGGAGCTGAAGAGGGGAAGGGGGTGAGCTGAAGTCTGCAAGTCTAGAACAGTGAAGAGAACAAGTCTAGCTTAGACCTCTCCACAAGATGGAGGCCCCAGGAGGTACTCCCCAGTGGGAGGACAAGGCAGACCTGGTGCAGGAACATCACAGGTGGGTGGAGGCCTGGGGTCCGAGGGCAGTTCCTGGAGGTGACAGCAGCAGAGGTGTGGCTTTGGAGTCAGGCACTGAGCCTGGAAGGAAAGGGAGGCTGGCTTGGGCCCCTGCACAAGATGGCGGTTCCAGGAAGAACTCACCAACTTGGGACACGAGGCCTTCGCTCTGCTCTCTCTTGGGCTTTTGAGAAGCTCAGCGTGGCCTGTGAACATGGTCAGATCACTGAGGCCGAAAATGTGCTCTTCAGGGAGAAGAAACAGTTGAGGCTGGGGAGTAGGCAGCGGGATGAGGGTGCAATAGGACGGAACTGTCCAGATCCATAATTCGCCATGATCTCATGGAAGGAGCTCTGGACTCAGAGTCTGGAAATGTTGGTTCTGGCTTCTGTACGGACTGACTGTGTGAGCTGTGGCTCTGTGATAACCATGAACCAAGTGCAGCCCTGGTCCCTCATCTGTCAGATAAGCAGTGCAGTGCTCCATGGACCATGTTGGATAGCGTGTGTCTGTAAATAGGAGGGGACGACTGACAGACAGATTCAGCCCTTCTGACCAAGCCTTGCCCCCTTTTCTAGTGCCGGCAGAATATTTGGCTTCCTCCCAAGAGCATAATATATTTTTCTCCTTGAGTCGAATTGTATTTTTATTGGAAGAATTTCAGCTGTCTCAGCACGGCCCTGACCAAATTCATTTTCAAGCGCTCCAACCCCAGATGAATTCTCCATGCCGAGCCTGGAGTCTTTGCCTAAATAAACCGCCTCGGTGCAGGGTTTTCATTCCCATTCCCCCATGGCCAGGGCGGTGCCTGGCAACCCTGCAGAACTTTGGGGGAACAGTTCTCTTCTTGATCTGCCTCTCAGGGGTTGGCCCAAGACTCCTCCCATGGAAGAAGGGCTCTTTCTTCTAGTGCGGTCTCAGGCATGTTCTGAGCATAATCAGTGGTTTCCAACTGGGCTGATTATTGGCAGCGCCCGGAGCCTTCGGGCAAGCGGAACATTGCTTACTCTGTCCGCATCCTGCGTGTCTTGGCAGCTTTAATAGTGACCAGGATGATTTTGACACTGCCTTAAGAGCAGCAGTTGGAGGATGTTTCCTTTTTTTAGACAAAAGTACAATATCCACTGAATAGAGAAGATTTTCCTATCGTACAGTCTAGGCATTTGCAAGACCCCATGTACAAACTCCAAGCCGGTGGCATGCTATGGAGAGAGCCCTCGGCTGGGCGTTGGGAGACCAGAGCCCTGACGCAGTCTCTGCTCCTGCTGAGTGCTTTGAGCTCAGCCTCTCAGGCCTGGGTTTCCTCGACTCTTGCCTGAGAGGCTTGACTGAGATGAGCTCACCTCTGAGGTTCCTTCCATGGCTCACATCCCCTTTTTTTCTGAATATGGGGCATGTGTGTAAGTATCACATCCTGAGTCAGATGTTTGCTCGTTCGGCACCGAGGGCCAGGGCCATTTCTCTTTGGGGAACACGTTTAGATGTGATCCGGGAAGAAGAATTCCTGGGTGAAAATCAGGAGGGATTGTGTCACGTACAGCTTATCTCACGCACAAATGTTTGGTGCCGGGGAAAAAGCTCCCATTCACTCCCCATGTGTGACTTCTGTCTCCTGCTCAGTTTCAGACTGGCCCCTCTGGATGCATTCTTCTGACCCTCTCCGCCATCTTGTCCAGGTCCACTGATCTGTAAGTATCTGGCGCATGCTCTTGGCGTTTCCTTGAGCTTGACCCCGAAGATGGACTGCCGAGCACAGGAGCTGGTTTAGAGTCAGGACGTTCTTTCTGGTGGAGGACGTGCGGATCCGAGTGTGGCAGTGTCTGTGGGGCGCGGGGTGACCTCCTCTCTCGTTAACACTCTCCCATCACGCAGCGTTTTGTCACAGAGGTCCCCTTCGAGACTTGACTCTGGGGGAGCTGGGGCCTTGCCTTGGCTTGTCTTAGCTCGACATCAGCCATCGATCTGGAGCCTGCCAGGGTGGCCTTAGACAGATGGCTCCTCTCTGGACCTGCTAACCACATGATCCCTGAGGTCCCTTCTGATCTGGAGTCCTGTGATCCCTTGACATAGGAGGTGAGAGCTCCAGGCTGGTGTCAGGAAGGCTTCGTGCACTTAACTAGCCTTGCGACCCTGGGGAAGTCATTTAACCTCTGTGGTCCTCCATTTTGTCATTTGTAAGATGGGGATAATCGCAGCCCCTCCCTCCCAGGGGGTTGTGAGGATCCAGTGCAGTCATGCAGAGTGCCTGGCACACAGCAGATCCTTCATGAATGTTCGTCTCCATCTTTCCCAGGACAGTGTCTAGCACGTGGGAGCTTTATCATTAAGGGATGTTTGTTGAATTGGCTGCTCACGGCCTATACGTGGTATTTGTGCAGGTATCCTATCTCCAGTGCTCAGACATGGGGAGGGGCAACGTAGGCCCAGGGCTGGAAGGACCCCAGCTCTGGTGCCATCTCACTAACTAGTTAATGAGGCATTGGCTGGATGCCCTAGGGTCTGAGGTCAGACTTAGAGGCCTTTGAGTCCAGCCTCTCGTTTCACCAGTGAGGAAACTGAGGCCCAGTTTTCTGAAGTCAGCGGAGTGTGCAGTCCACTCAGAACTCAGGCCCAGCTTCTCTGTCTCCAGAGCCACACTTGGGAGATTCCATGTGGGATTATTGTGAATGAATGAAGAGCTGAGCCAGCTGGCCTCCGAGGGCCCTTCCAGCTGTGAGCACCACTGTGGAGGAGTGGGCAGGCTGGCCAGCCGCTCCATGGGGCTCGGCTGGGCGATGCCCTGAATGGCCGTAGGGTCAGAGCTGGGCAAGGAGAAGGACATTTGTGCTTCCTCCTCTAAATGTGTAATCGTGTATCGAGTGCGTGAATGGATCCCAATGACGGCTTCCCCATTCCTATTTAAAAAAATGTGCTTTTGGCTCCGACCCGGGATTTCTTTGGTGTGAAGAGCCTTCTTCTGTCAGTGTGGCTTGGCCAGTCATAGTTTCGCCTGTTGGTGACTCAGCCCGCATGGGGTAGAGACCAGCCTAGAGTGCAGTGTGCATCTTCCAGACTCAGAGGCCAGACTTGGGGCTGAGAAGGGGCTTTGAGGCTAAAAAACAAGTTGAGCAGAAGTCCCTTAATTAACACCAACCTTAACCTTTAGCTTTGGGTCTTCCCTGGTGAATTATTCCAAGTAGGAAAAGTGTTTAAAGAGAAGAGGATGGGGGAGGGGTCATTCAGGAGCTGCCCCAAACAATGGGCCCCACCCAGGGCCCACTTCCTCCTTTGGAGACCGTTTCCTCCTCTCTTGGATCCCGCCAGGAGCCTCTCGGTCCTTCTTCCCTTATAACTCACCTGCTCTTACTGCCCAAAGCCACCATCCTTTTAAAAATAATAAAACTCTGACTGCATTCAGGCTTCTGGAAGAGAGGAGGAATTCACGCCAGCCATTTCTTCTGGGCCCCATAGTGACTTTGCCTCGGGAGGCCAATGGCATTGTCCCATTTTATAGATAAAGAAACTGAGGCTCAGCGCTCTCACTTGCTTTCCTGCGATCCACAGCACCCAGGTGCCTCCTTAGCTTCTAGTCTGACACTTCTTCCAGATTTCCTTTCTGGCCTGGGGCATGGGATAGATCGAGCAGAAGGGTGAAGCCTCAGGAGAAGTGGGAAACCAGGCTGGCCCAGAGGCCATGTGCCCTGGCCCGGCTTGTTCAGATGTCCCTTGTTTGTGTTTTTGCCGCATGCGCCCACACATCCGAACCCCTTCTTTTCGCGGTCCACCCCTGCTGCCATCTCGGGCTCCCAAGCTTCCTCAGCTCGCCACCTCCGGTGCCTTGGGGTTGGGGAGAGTACTCACAGGCCTGGTCCAAAGCTGGGCCCTAGCACTTGGTAGTCCTGAGGGGCTTCTGGGAGGTACGGACCTGAGCTGTAGCTTGAGATGGGGCTGGCATCAGAAAGATGATCTAGGCTGAAATGGGCCAGCTCAGGGCAGTCAGCGGGAAGAGCCTCGGGGCTCAAGGGTCTCCTCGGAGGTGTGGTACACCGGTCGCCTTGAGAAGGTCCCTCATCCTCCCTCAGGCCTCAGTCTACAAGGAGGGGTTTGGACTAGAAGCCCTTGGGAGATCCCTTCTGAAATGACTGAGAAAACAAAGTTTTGAGCTTCCCAGCATATTGTTGTATTAAGCAGTGTATGCTGTTGGTCCAACAGACCCGGACCAGGCCTCCTCAGCTTGGTGCTGGACGGGGGAGACAGATCTGTGTGCCTCAAAAGCGGATAATGAACAGGAGATAAACCAGGATAGAAGATGAGGTCATGTGATGTCTAACTGGAGGAGAGATGAGGGGCTTTGGAAAGGGAGAATGGAGGGTGGAAACTGAAAGAAGGGCTGACTGCGATGTGCATTAGGGGAGTCTGAGCAGGGCATGTGGGGCAGTGTCTTCAAATGAGTCAGGCAGGGAGAGAGAGGGATCTGATTGGGCGGTGGAGGGGTCTGCCTGCATGTACAGAGGGGGCTGGCTAGACTTGTGGGCCCCTTGTTCAGGCCCCCACACACTCCCACATACGCTGGCACAGAGCCAGAAGGGTCCTCCCTCAGCATGACTAACCCAAACCGCCCCCCTCCATGAAAGCTTTGATCAGCACTCGCATCAAAGAGTGACTAGCTTCTGTGTGGAGCCTTCCAAGGAGGGGAGCCTGCCGCCTCCCCGAGCAGCCCCTTCCACTCTGGGATGGCTCTCATGGCCTAGAACTTTTTCCTAACTTAAATCAAGCCTGTGTCTCTGCTCCCAAGTCTGCCTTTGGGGCCCAACAAAACACGTCCTATCTGCTTATGTTCTCATAAGTTTTGGAGGATGGTCAGTAGGGGGTGGTCGAATCATGTTAAATGCCTTGAGGCCGAAGAAAAGGCTCATTCCTCGCTCTTCACTCAGGCTCCTATGTCTGCACAAATCCTCGTGCCCATGTACCTGACATGCTGGGCCTAGCCCATCAGCACCACCTCAGACCCCAGCATTCGTCACCTGGTTTCTAAGAAAGATCCCAGAACTAGCCTACAATGGCTTTCTTTGGTTGGTCCACACCAGATGCACACGTTGTTCCAGCAGCAGTGCCTGCTGAGAACGTAGGTATCTGACAACCTCACCTAGTGAGAGCCCAGACGAGACCCAGGAAAGAGACCCAAAGGGCACCTCTTTCCGTTTGCTTACATACCATACCATGCTAACCAGCTTGGTCATCCTGTGTTTCGGAGCAGCCCCCTGGAGGGGGTGGTGGGCAATGGCAGTTGTCAGCTCATCTGAAGGTGGGGGGGAGGTGGGCTACACCTCCACACAGCTGTCTGCAAGGCTCTTTGAGGTCCCTGTGTCACAGCACAGGACGAGAGACTGTTCCAGTGTGCTCTGTTTAAGGAGGTGGGGATTTCAGAAGGATTTACCTCCAGAAGGGTTAGCGTGTAAAAGGCACCACTTTACTCAGGTCTTGTTCCCTAAAAGGTGAGTTTTCTCCTCTGTTAGAGGAGAGAAGAGAAAGCTGAGATGTCTCATGGTAATGAACCCTCTCTCTGGTTTCCTAGAATATAATTAACTCCGATAGCAGCGACACCAACAATAAGAGGTGGCAGAGACCTGGGCCTTCTGCATCTTAATCAGTTGGACAGGTTTCTTAGCTCCTGAGAGGTCCAGGGAAACTTTGACTTTCCCTTAATTTCTTTAAAACATTTTTGAAATTTTCTTAATTTCTAAACCATGATGGTCAGTGAGCTCAGGCATCTGGCCTCTTCAGTGCGCCTTCTTACCCTTGCTTGCTGTCTATGACAGTGGGGCATTTTCTGGGGGTTGTTTAGATAAGGAGAGAAAATGCAGACATTCAAAAATGCATCTGAATGAAGGAATAGAAGGACATAGAAGAGAAAAGTCCATCATCTCAGGCCGGGGGTACTTCTCAGCTCTTCTCGCTAGCCTGGCTTGACCTGGGCTTCTCTCTTGACCTATAACACACAGCTGTCTTGTGGCCTCCTCCCAGAGAATGGCATCTTCCTAGCAGAAGTCCCCCGTGTTGATTCGAAGAAGCCTCCTGGATTCGCTGTGGAACCAACTGAAGGCATCTTGGTTCTGTGGACATGCGAGGGCCCAGGTCAGAATCCTTGGCCTCCCATGCACCTGTGACTGTGGTCCAGGCCTGTAAATGCTCTCAGTCTCTGTGCTCATCTCTCTTCATGGAGGGGGCTGGACTATATGACCCCAGAGGTCCGTTCCAGCCAAACATATTCTGCCCCTGGTGTGGTACATCCATATTCTTCTGTCTTTGCTGAATATTCCGTTTCCTTTTAGTCCCAGCCAAGGGAAAAGTCGAGCAAAGGTGATGCTGCCACCTCAAAAGTATGTCAGAGACAACTGAGCCCAAAGCACAGAGCATGCCGAATAGACAGAAGACAGTCCTGTGGCCCTCCAGCTCCTGGATTTTCTTTAGTGTCAGCTTGTGGTCTGTATTGTCTGGCAACCAGGCTGGGGTGCTGGTGAGAGGCAAGGTCCAGGAGCTGCAGGATCCTGCCAGCGCAGATGGGAGGAGGCTCTGTGGCCCTCAGAGGCGGGCTGCCGGCAGCCTGCCCGTGTGTTGGCTGGCCCAGTTCTCCCCATTGTGGTGCCCATCGGCGTCCAGCTGAACCACCGACCCAGGGGCTCACAAACCCTGTGTCCAGCCGGCAGGCTTGCCACCCCGGGGGAGCACACAAGGTCTGTCGCTGACTCTGATCTTTCTGTGACTCTGTTTCTGCTCTGCCGCTGGACTCTGCTTTTAGATGGATCAGAGTAGGCCTTGAATGCAGTGAATCTGCTGTTGTCAAAGGCAGGCCGGGGAGGGGGATGTGAGCCAGGTCTCTTCCTTCGCTGTTTACACTTACACTGGAAGAGAAGTCTGGGGCCCCCACTGTGTGACCCTGGTCTGTGCTGCAGTCTCTTAGCTCTAAAATGGGGGGAATAATGTCAGCCCTTCCTGCCTGCCTCCCGTGAATATTGTAAGAACTAAATTCATGGAGATAATGTGTTAAGTGCTTTAAAAACTGGAGTGAGAGAGAAAATGCAAGGAATTATTACTGAAGGCTGATCACCGTGGAACTGCGGTGCATTTTGAAAGGAAGCCAGCTGCCATGGACCCTGTAGACCTTCAGAGCCTGGTGTCAGGCTGATCTGTCTTTGCCCCTGGGGGTTGGAAGAGCAGCCCCACCCCGTGTGCCCTCCTCACGTGACAGTGCTGGGCCCTCTGCCCCACCCCAGACCAAAGGGAGGACTCCCACAGAGGTGTGAATCACCGACTGACTCCTTGCAGTTAGTAGCCTGGTGGTTTGCGTTGTGTGCTGGGGGGGGCACCCCTAGAGGGGGGCTGGGCGGTGGGCTTGGGTCTGTGCAAGCTAGCCAGCCGCCAATTGCCTCTGTTTGTCTTCCGTTGATGGTATAATGTAAAGGCCAGATGTTTCTCTCCTTGGAGACAGGAGACCCGCTGCTGGATTCCCATTGCTTTAGCACCTGACAATGTAATTCCCATTTCCTGCCATTGTCCTTTTCTGTTTGCCCCACCGCTCAGAGCTGACGGAGCTGACGCAGACTTTAAAGTCATTGGATTAACTTCAGGCCACTGGATAATGGAGATGGAGTTCTCTTAACACTCCTGGTGTGCTTTGGATCCAGAGATGGTTATCAGGGAGTTGGAGGTTATTGTCTCCTCTTTAGAAGAAGCTGGTTCACACAACAGACATGACTGCCATTAATCTCCTTTGGCCTCTTGGCAATCTCAGCCCTCAGGCCCCTTGGCCTGCCCCCTCCCAGTCCTGCACTGCCTCCCATGGGCGAATCTCAAGGCACCGACCAGCTCCGAGGAGCCCCAGGCTCTCTGATTCTTGCCCAGGCCCCTCCCGGAATCCCCCAGGGTCTGCCCAGAAATATCTGCCAGAGCAGAGTGGTTTTTTCCAAGGCTTATGATATGTTCATTCCCCAGCTGGAGAGCACTAAGAGGGGAACTGTGGTTGGTGCATGTTTCCTGATTTAGCATACCCTCCGGTACAGGGTCTGAAGCCCTGCAGGATGGGGTTCTTTAGGATAGAGCTTAGTTAGGAAGTCTCCTTCTTTCAACTCTGGCTCCCAGGGCTTCTACCCTGGAACCTGTCACCTTGGCCTTCATCTCCCTTCCCCTCTCCAAAGAGCAGCATCTTCAAGGAGGCTGTAGCATGAAGAATGGCTTTATAGTGGGGAGGTGCTCATGCCCGGTTGGGCCAAGTCGGGGAAGTGCAGCACCCTAAGAAAGCCGACCTCCTACTTTCTCTCTGGGACTCTCTTGCCACGGTGCCCCTGGGAAAAGGCCTCCTCTTTTAGAAATAAAATGCGTCATGACTGCCTCGTGAAGTATTGGGCACTTAGGGGGTGGCCTGGTTGGACAGGGTAATGAGGAGTCCTGAGATGTCAGCCGAGGACAGAAACTGCTTTGAGAGAGAATACTTCCCCCTTGGCAGATCTTAGGCTAGTTCAGCCTCGCCACGGGATGGGAGAGAGTTCGAATGACTTAGCTGAGGTTGCCCAGCAGCCAAAGTCTTCTTGCGCACTGCCCAGGGACAGAGGGGTAGAGCTAGCCCAGCTGAGTGGCTCGGGCGTGTCCTCCAGTCACGGCTCTTCTTGTGTGTTTCAGAGTGCGCAGAGACTTTGACATGCCCGCCAACTGCCTGATCGGAGCCCACGGATACTGCACCCAGGTACCCGTGGGAGTGGACCGGGAGAGGGGGGGAGTGGGGAGGGGCTCCGTTTGTCTCTGTGAGCGCCACAAGAACCTGGTCAGGGACGCCCAGCAGGATGCTGCCCTGGCTGGAGGGAGCAGAGTCATAATGGTTAGTCCAACAAAGTGCTTAGTTCACAAGCGTTCTCTGAGGCAGATGGTACAAGGCCTATTGTCCCCCATTACAGATGGGGAAACTGAGGCAGAGCGCTCAGGTGACTTGCCCAGGGTGGCGCAGCACGTGAGGATTCCATACTCTCTCCTCCCCTCTTTGTAGCACTTGCTTTTCTCCTAGCAACCCCGGGAGGCAGGGAGCGTAAGAACAACTAGCCATTTCACAAGAGAGGGCACTGAGGCCCGGGAGCATGAAGCAGCTCAGCGGGGATCCTGTCAGACGGCTAGAAAGGTCCGAGGCGCCACGGGGACCCAGCTGTCCTGACTGCATCTGTGATGCCCGTGCCAGTGTGGCTCGGGGCAGGGATGCGAGGCAAGAATGAGGGCAGTGGTGGTTGGTCTTGTGCGTGCCCAGGCGTCTGCACGTTGTCTCCCCCATCAGACTGGGGGAGACTTGCTTTGGCCTTTCTTTGAATCCCCACTGGTCAGCACACTGCCTGGCACAAAGGAGCCAACTAACACATGCTTGTTGACTTGACTTGAGCCAAGGCCCAGGGAGATGAAATGGCCCAGATGGAATCTGGTGGCGGGCGTGGGGATTGACCACGGGTCCCATGACTCACTATGGCTGTCTCTGTAGAAGTCATAACCTGAGCTGGAGGACAGGAGGCCCATCCCGTGGGCTGCGGTCTGTATTGCCGATGAGCTCCCAGCTCCACCTCACTGTGTGTGCTCTATTGGTGGTCAGCTGGCGCCAGGGCAGTCCGTGTTGTTGTGGACTGAGGCCTTTGCTGGAGCATGCCCCTCCCCGTTACCCAACTGCCTGTTGTGTGGACAGACAGTTTGGTGTGGGGGAAGGAGAGATGCAGATTCAGATGCTACCTCTGACTCTTCCTCTCATCTGTAAAGTGGAGGAGTGTCCACCACACAGTGACGGAGACTGGGGGTCACTAGGCCTGGCTTCTTGCGCCGGCTCTGGCTCTGACCGAGTTGTGGGACTGGAGGCAGCTGCGCCCTTCCGAGGGTCCTGAAGAGAGTGTTCGAGTGAAGGGTGACTGGGCGCCGGAGCCACGCTCACTCATCCTGTGGTCCTCTGGTCACCTCGAGGGCCCCTTTTGGCATTTCGTGTTGCTCTTCTTTGGTTGACTCCGTCATGAGATGATGAAGAAGGAAGACTGAGGAGACCCAGAGACAGGAGGGCTTCAGAGGCTTGTGCGACTGCTTGTGGCTGGACGGGGCCTGGGAGGAAGCTGTCCAGAGAGTGTACCATCAACCCCTCCCCTGTGTCCTGGAGGCCAGAGGGGACATGGCAGTGAATTCAGCCTCCCTTTCCTGAGGGAGCACCATAACTTGCCTGAGCATTTCCTCCAAAGTCCTTCTTGGCTTCCCCTGTGTATGCACAATGCAGGACATTCCACATCTGCCGCCAATAAAACCGAGGGTCCTTTTCATTCTCACTGGGGCAGGAGTTGTCAGTAGAGATAAAAGTGATTTACTGGTCACTACTTTTCTCACCATTGTCAGGGCAGAAGGAGGGAGGGAGACCTGCCTCACTTTGATAGGCTTAGCTACTCTGCCCCGGATAGTGATCAGTACAGTTCCAAAGACCCCGGGATGAAAATGCTGCCCACTCCCAGAGAGAGAGAGCTGGTGCACTGTGGGGGCAGAGTTGTAATAGTAAGGGGTTACGGGAATGAAGCAGACTTTGGAAACTGGTTTTTTTTTTTGCCTTTTTTTGCAACATGGCTAATATGGAAATGTTTTGCATGATTTCACATGTATAATTGGCATCATATTGCTTGCCTTCTTAATGAGTGGAAGAGGGGCTAGAGGGAGGGAGAGAATTTGGAATTCAGAATATTAAAAATGACTCTCAAAAATTTTTTATATCTAATTGGGAACTATTTAATGAAATAGATAAAAATATATTTCAAAAAACTCACCTTCCAGAGACCTGCTTGAGGGCAAGGTCACTGGTTTTGTGCCTAGTGTGGGGGTCATAAATGTAGAGCTGAGAAACCTTAGGGGTCAGCAGGTCCAGTAGAGGCAGTCACTGAGTCCAGTGTGAAATGATTTGCTCACAGGAGCAGGCCCTCAAAAAAGATTAGATCAGACGATAACTTACAAACTTAAAAGGAAAGTGGCAGAAATTTTGTTCCCTGTGAATTGTGAAAAAAAATTTCTCTGTTCCTTTCCTCCCTGCTGTCATCTTATCTCCTCTGATCTTCTGCCCTCCTTTTCTGTTGTGTATGGCATATAGAATTCACAAGCTTCCTTTTTCTTTTGTCAACAGGAACTTGTCAACCTGCTTCTGACTGGCAAAGCCGTGTCCAATGTTTTCAACGATGTGGTGGAGCTGGATTCTGGAAATGGAAATGTCACCCTCCTCAAAGGAATCACATCTCGCAGTGACATCGGGCTTCTGTCTCTGTTTGAGCACTATGACGTTTGCCAGGTAGGCAGACCCCAGACCCCCCCCCCCCCCCCCCCCCCCCCCCCTCGCCCCCCCCGGGGCAGCGTGGGAAATCGTATTGGGATGACCACAGTCTGCTGGTGGGCTCATGAGGTGTTTCTGCTCCTGGAGCAGCGAGGCTGCCCTGCTTCCAGAATCTGAGCAAGAAAGGCCAAGGGGATGCCACACCATTTCTCATGTGGTCCTATTGACCACATACAGTAAAGACACTCCCCATGTGAGTACTCATGAGGGAGCCTGGTGCAGTGACTTGGGATGTGATCTGGGGTTGATCAAGGATGGCCCGGAGTGTGCCAGAGAAAGGGGAGACCCCATGCAACCTGGCTTACACTGCTACCTTCTGCCTTGATAAGAGTAAGGAAGACAGTTGTAATAATTACAGCAGGAATATTTTCGTAGCCCTCTAAGGTTTGCAAAGCGCTTTACATAGACTGTCTCATTTGATAAAGAAACAGGTTCTAAGCCCAGGTGAACTTCAGCTGAACCTTCATCTAAATGAGCTGCCTCTGGCCCTCTGAACGAGGAGCAGAATGGCCTTCTGGCTGCCAGAGCCTTTTCCAAATGGCTCACGTGACTGCATCTGCCTGAAGAATGGCATTGACCTTTTTGACCTAGTTCCCCACTCCCTGACACAAGCAAGCCTCAGTTTTCATTATCTTTGGGGAGGAAAACAATGATAACAGCTATTTCACAGAAATATTTTTATCCAAGGAGAACAGAGGAATGCTTTCACACGGTCCTTGATAAGCACCCAGGGGTTTACAGCTGTGCACAGGCTGAGGCAGGAAGGTATTTGGTCTTAACTTCCATTTCACATTGGGAAGCACTTGTTTACTATGTTAGGGTTAGGTTCATTTGCCCCCTCAGCCCTCTCAGGAGAGGCTCTGCTCAGGGCCCATGTGGCCCCAAAGGAGGGTGGGGGGGAGGTCTCAGGCTTTCCTCTCTCCGTTTCTGTCCCCACCCAAAGTAAGCCCAGAGAAATCTTTAAAACAAATCTTATAAATGGCTTACGTTGAGGGTCTCTCCAAAATGTGGGTAACGGGGTCCCTACTAGAAAACGTGTTCAATGTACAATGCAGGTGTCAGGTATGATACCACAGCAACGCTTAGAATGGAAGAGACGCACAAGCATTCATTAGCAACTCAGAAAGGGGCCCATTGGGTTCTTTGTACTTTGTCCTTCTTCCACACCCCAGCACCAAAGTCAAAGAGACCCTTGTGGGATGGGCACCTCAGACACGTGGTCTCAGCAGCTCACCAGACTCCCCTCTGGCCAACCTGAGCCCAGCTATCCTGAGTCCTTCTGGCAATGGGGCTTTTCTCCTCTGGTCAGCACAGGCCTGGATCTGGAACTCTTGACCCAGGGGTAGCTGCCAAGGCTGGAAAAGTCCATTTTTCAGAATCTGTGCTCAAGGAAGGAAGCAGAAGGCAGCTAGGTGTAGGGCTCTGGGGCCCCACCTCAAGCCTGCCTGGTCCCAGTATGTCATGTGTCCCAGCTGCCATTGCTGCTTGCAGGGTAGTGGGAACATCCTCCCCTCCCCTGCACCCCCAAACATCCTTTTGCTGAAAGTGCAAGGGAGAGAATTCCCTATAAGAGTCCCCAAAGAACAGGTCCATTCCCAGATTTGTGTGTATGAGAGCGGGGATGGCCAGGGCAGGAAAGAAATCATCTGACAGCCATTGCATCTGACCTGCCACTGTGTATATTCTGTGCTATCCTAATAGTCTTTATATGCTATTGGTATGTGGAGTGTGTAGTAGAGTAATATAAATATATCCTTCTATCCAGGTAGTATAAAAATACTGTTAGCGTGTCTACTCTTGGTGTGTAAATTGTATGGTAGAATAGTATGTGTATTATTCTGTCCTGGTAACATCAATATGCCATTAGTGTCTGTTCTCCAGGACCTTCGTTGGTTTTTTGGTTACTCAGACTATGATATTTTCATTTACATTACTACAGTTAGTCATTCTTCTCTTGGTTCTGCTTATTGGAAGCTGCATCAGTTTATATCAGTCTTCTCGTGTTTCTCTGAATTCCTCAAATTCCTATGTCTTACCACACAGCAATATTCCCTGGCATTCACATCCCACTGGGGACTCTCATAAAAGGGATACGAAGAATGTCTCAGGGTGTCTGTTGGCCCTTTGTTTCTGTCTTTTGACTTCCTTGGGCACGTGCCCAGTAGTGGAATCGCTGAGTCGAAGACAAAATAGTCACTTTGCTTACGTAACTCCAAACCAATACTCAGAATGGTGGGATGGCTTCAGGGGTCTCCTAACCGTACATTAGCATCAGAGGGTCCTGGGTGTAGAGCTGGGCAGGGTCTTGGGTGTCATCTAGTTCAACTCTTCATTTGTATAGATGAGGAAACTGAGGTCACACAGCCAGGAAGTAAGGGCCGAGATGGCTGTCTCAGCCCCTCCACAGGTCCCTTTCTTCCTGGTCACCTTTGCCAGTTTTTATGGTGTAAGGTAAAAAAGCAGATCTTTGAATTTGCATTTCTGTAATGATTAATGAATTGTAGAATATTTTCATGTGGTCATTCATCATTTCAAATTCTGCTTTTGAAATCTCATATTCTTTGACCACTTATCTATTACAGAATGGCTCTTGGTATTATATGTTGATGTCATTTCCCTGTAAATTTTACAAATCAGATTTTTGTTAGTGACATTTGATGGAACGTGTCCTGGCTACATTGATTTTGTCCATCCAAAGGCTTTTTAATTTGTTGTAATTAAAATTGTCTTTTGAAAAACCTTTCATGATCTTCTCTATCCCTTTTTAATGTCTTCTCCTAGCCATACTTTTGAAAAGTACCGAATCTTATTCTGGCTGGTTTGGTTTTAATGGTGTGACCCTTTCGGCTTTCTTACCTATTCTGACCTTACTGTGGCATAGGACGTAGCAGAGTTGTCGTCATCTGATTTCTGCCAAAACACTTTCTAATTTTATAGTAGCTCTCTTCCAAAAAGGAGTCCTTCCCCCGTAATTCATGTTTTGGGTTATCAAACACTGGACTGCTCATTTCCAGTTGGTTCTATTTCTTGCTTACTTAATCAGTTTTACTGATGGACTTTTTGTTTTTAAAAAATATTGAGTAGTGTTTGTGACTGCCCGCTGATTTATAACACAGTCTGGAATCTGGTGATGCTCTGCCCCCTCTGTCCGTACTTTTTTTTCTTGTTTTCTGTGAGATACTAGGGCTTCTGTTCTTCAGAATGAATTTTGTTATCATTTAAAAAAGTATTCTCTCCATGATTTGCTTGGTACGGCGCAAATGGGTGAATTAATTTAGCTAATGCAGTTCTGTTGAATGGGACCGAAGAGGAGGATCGTAACACCGCTGACGCTCGATCATCTCACCCGTTCTCCCAGAGGACATTGCCTCGTGCTTCCAGGAAACAAAACCAAGGCCGTTAACAGGAGCTCTCTCTTCTCCCCTCTTCTCATCGCACATCACTGAGCTCCTTCCCCTGCTTTCTCCTCCTTCTCCCCTTTCTTTCATGAAGAGGCGGCCCTTCTCCTTGCTAAGACACACCAGTTGTTATGCCCCTGGGAGCCCATCTCCTCCCATCTCTTCCAGTCAATTGTTCTCTGTCATTCCTTCTCTTCTTCAGCCTCTCCCCGTCTCCTGACTCCTTCCCTGCTGCCTACAAAGATGCCCACGTCACTGCTCTCCTCACTTGATCCATCAGGGGCACTCCTGTCCCATATCTCTTTTTCCTTTCAGTGGTTAAAGTGCTTGAGAAGATCATTTTTGTGTCATGTTTCCTCTCCTCTCAGTTTCTTCTAAACCTTCTGACCGTGTCATTCAGTTCTCTGAATTGTAGACCTGAGGACCTCTTCTTGAACCTTGTCCTTCTTGACCTCTCAGCGGCCTTTGACGTTGGTGACCACCCTCTTCCCCTCTCCAGGTGTGTGTGACACTGCTCTCTCCTGGTTCTCCCCCTCCCTGCCTCGTGGGCACTGGCCGTTCTCTTTGCCGCATCTTCGTCCAGCTCGTGCCCTCGAGCCGTGGCCTGGTCCTGGGCCCTTCTCTTTTCTTCCTCTAGGTCATCTCATGAGTTCCTGCTTGTTCAGTTGTCATCTCTATCGTGATCTAGCTATCCAACCCTAACCCCTCTCCTGACTCCCCGCATTACCAGCTGCTTTTTGGATGTCAGGCCAGCACATACCATGTGCTCGACATTGTGCTCTGTGCTGTGTATTCAAAAATAAAGAGTGAAACCATCCCGACTTGCAGTGAGCTTGTTTGTGTTCTATGTAGAATGTTTTATTTACACTGTATATTACAAATACATGTAAGATATACACAGCATAAGTACAAAGTGAATAAGAACATGCAGATACACACAGTAGTTAGCTATGTGCACATACTAGTCATAGAAGACAGCTAGTGGAAAGGTACAGTGACACATTCATTAGGACATGTTTGAAGGACAGAGAGGTGTGGAGGAGGAGGAATAGGGCAGAGGAGGAACTTCTTCTGCTGAAAGATAAATTGGGAGTTGGTTGTATAGGGCTTGGAAAGCTCAGCAGAGGAGTTTATGTTAGATCTTTGAGGCAAAGAAGCCTCTAGTACTTGAGGCCACACCTAGAGGGCCACGTGTGGCAAAAGCAGGGTAGTCACATGGCCTGATCTATGCTTAACGATAATGATTTCAAAAGCCATATGTGGGATAGACTGAAGTGATCTAGGCTAAAGGTGGTGAGGGCATAAATGAAGCGGGTCGCTATGTGAGTGGAGTGAAGGAGGTGTACGGGAGAGTCATCTTGAAGGTAGAAAGATTTGGCAACTAATGGGATATATGGGGAGAACGAAGAATCTGCATTGCTGTCAAAATCACGAAGCAGGGAGACTGGGAGAATGTTGGTGCCTGAGGAAATTTGGAAGGTGGGAGAGTTTAGTAGAAAAGAGAATGAGTTCCATTTTAGAAAGGTTGAGTAAGGGATCTCTGGGACATACGGTTTGAAC